ATCTTTCTTTTATAAAAACACAAAGCAACCTTATTCAATTAATTTAAGTTTTTCCTTAACCTCTTATCTGAAGGTGACATGTCTAAAGTATATGTGGAAAAACTTTGTCTCATAAAATCAAAACTTTTGATATATTTACAACAATAAGGCAATATATATCATAAAGTAAAATGACTAGTTGACTTTTGATTAGTAAAATATCTTTCTCTTTTAATGTGCTATTCAAACAAGCCAATTGCTTACCAGAGCTTTGGAAAAAACTATTTGTCTAGATTCCAGAAATTCATAATCGTGAATACATAAAAATATTCATTGATATCTCAACTGAACAGACCTCAGAATATTCTGTTTAGATGGAAATGTTGAAAACTGCTTTGGATCTAGATAATATTTTTCTTTCTCTACTAATGTTATAAATCTGTTTCTTATTACCAATGACTATCTGATATGAAAACAATTTTTTCTGTGTCAAACAGAAAGTCATATATTTAAGCAGTAAAGTATTTTCATTTCCCTAAGTTCATGTGGAACCTGTTTTCATAGACTCTAAATTTTTCCTTAAGGAGTATAAATAATGTTCATCAATTAAACAATTACATAAATAATAAGGAGTTAAATAAACTTCAAAAACATTCATAACATGAACTAATATAAAATGCTTAGAACTTTTACATCATTCAAATAAATGCTTCAATTAATATTCATAAAGGGATAAATTTATTTACATTTGGACTATTGTCCTCATCTTTGTTGTTTTAATCTCAACATTTCCGGACTTCCTTGGGTGTTACATTGATTTGGGTAACCTTCAGCGAATTCTGAACTGAACCCTTTATTTATTCTATGTGGGTAGACTTCTCATTCCACAAGCCGTATCTAGGGGACATCATCTAGTTCTTATTTTTTGTACTGCTCAATTATTATAGTTTTTAATATCTCGATGTTTTATTGTCGTTAACTCCAAAACGGTAGATTTTAGTAAAAAAATTTTAGTAAAATTTCTTTGTCATTTTCGAATTAAGCATGTAAATTTACACCTAAATGTAACTATTCGGGAAACTGTGCTACTCTGTCAGTTGTGATGACTAAAGGTACACCATATGTTGTGGTCCTGGTTACGCATTCTGATGAAATGTTTTTCATAAGGAACGCAGCAGGCCAACAATTAAAAACGATCCACTATTGTTTGCAAGTAGCTGAATCTATTAGCATTGGGAAGGGGTCCAACAATGTCAATATTTAAGCTAGCAAATCTTCTATCGTGTTTGTTGAAATGTTCTTGTAGTCCTTTTATGTCTTGTGTTTCTGACATTTATTGTAGCTTTGTGTCCATTGCTGAATATCCCTGCACATGTTCAGCCAAACGAAACGATCACTGATGAGTTTGGTTTTAACTCGTCTTCCTGGCTGTGATAAACCGTGAAAATGATAGAAGATTTGTCAACGTAATGATGGTGATATATAAGGTCGTGCTTATGACCTTTCATCATATTACAAAAAATAATGTCAACTCTGAAAGCAGCCAGTAATTCATGTAACTGAAGTGATGTATGATTCTGAACGTTTAATAGAGTAAAATATTTCATCAGTTCTTCGATAATTTCCTTGTAACGTAACACATTATTGTGCAAGGCATATGTGAGTGGCTTGTGGTCAGTGTATATGGCAAAATGATAACCTTCTAAAACGCCGAAAGTGTTTCAGTGACAGGTAAATTGCCTGAAGTTCTCTTGAAAACATACTGTATTTCTTTTGCGTTGTATTCGGCTTGACAGAAAGCAAGGGAATGGATTTAGCTTCACTCTTTCTAATCTGATGTATGACAACCCCAAAATTCTATGTATCTGTTGTGAATGTGAGCTGGGTGTCTGGTTCCTCAATTGAATAATTCAGTTTAGTAGGTCATTTTTAGTATTCTTGAAGGCACCTAGAGTACGACATTGAAATATGATTTTTGTATTTCTACTCTAGTGGCTTTTTAATAAATTGGCAAGAGGGAGTAACCTTGTTGAACATTTCATTATAAATTGATGAGAATAATTAATCAAGCCAATAAATCGATATACTTGCCTGAATTATGTATTGTGATTTTCTTTGGTAAAGGTCCGATTCATCGATTTCATATCCAAAGAAAGTCAGTTTGTTTATTTTAAAAATTTATTTATCTTCCACCACAATTCTTCTTCATGACAATGCCTGAACACACGCTTTGTCAATGATTACAGAAATTAAATGAACTGGTCTATAAAACTCTACTTCACCCAGTTTACTCACCAGATCTATCTTCAACCAACTGCCATTTTTCTTAAGCATCACCATAGTAGTTCTCATCAATGAAGCAGCAACTCAAAAAACATTCAAACAATTCTTCAGTTCAAAAAGTAAAAAAATTCGTATGGATATGACGTTTGTTTGTCCATAGTTTTTTTTTTTTTTTTTTTGTTTTTGTTTTGTTTTTTTTTTTTGTTTTTTTAGTAATGTACCAGACATTGAGTTATTACCCAACAATGCTCTCATCTTTCTCAGAAGTTAGGATGACTTCATGGAATCAAGACTGGATTTGTTGAAAAGATCATGCAGTTTTCTTTCGTTTGATTTGCCTGTGCATCGGAAGATGGCATTTTTAAAGTTTCGTAGGGTGCTTCCTCTGGCATTTCTTCTAATAAATCAACTATCTCAATTGCCACCTCTGGTGGAAGCTTTTTTTACAACATATGCGTATCTAGATCTCTGTAATGGGCTTTTGATTGTTTTGGTGTTTATTTCCGTCTTCGCTCCTCATGTAACGTTTAAATAAAAATTGTGAGCCAAATTTTTTATGAAATTTCAAAAATTAATCTCTTGTCGTTTTTTATTATTATTGTAACAACAACAAAGCCCCTTCCGAAATTTTATTTTAGTTAGATTTATTTTTACAGTTACTCTCAGTTTGGCGTCCACACACACACACACACGAGTTAACGGGACTGAGCACTGAGGAGTTCTTGGCGTGACCAACTTGATGATGGGAGAAATAAGATAATAAGAAAAAAAAAAAAACGCATTTCTGTTTTTCGCTAATCTGGTGTGTGACCATTTTCCGAGAGCCTGTTTTACATAGTTACCTCCCAAAATTCACTAAAAAAAAAGGCTATATCATGAAAAAATACTCAAAAATAGGAACCTCCACTGAAATGTCACATCTAAGGTTTAAAATGAAGTTTTGAAAATAAAAAAAAATCTTTCTTAAAACGTCTATTTTAATTTCAAGCTAATTAAATTAAATTTAATATTTCCAATAAGCAAAATATTTGTTGTATTTCAAAACTAATTTAAATTGATTGGAAGGAGTTTTTGTTTTGAAATCAGTAAAAATCGCTGATTTTAGCGCCATTTTTAGGCATATATTATCACAATATATTCACTTTATTAAAAATCTTTCAAAAATAAAATACACATTTCTGAAACTTTATTTGAGGAATATTAGCTGTTTTAAAGTATAATCAATTTGATTTAAAACAAATATTATTTATTTTAATGTTAAAATATCACAGAAATGCATTTGTTTAACACGGCAGCTGCTTTTTACTTATGTTGACCGCTTTTTAACGGCCCCGTGACATCTTGATGACAGATTTTTATCTAATGTTGTTCTACGTGGTTTTTAACCGTAAAAATATAATTGAGGAATATAACGCGTGCGCCTTTTAAGTAAACAGTAATCTTAAAAAATTAAGAAAATATTCCTCATAATCTAATGTTTATTGAATTGTTGAGGATTTGGGCTCTAAATTTAATATAGTTATCGCTCTTAAACGAACCATTTTTTCACGGCCACAACAGAATACGATCAGTCCTTCCCCAAACCGATGTGAACTGTAAATGCTTCATCAGGCAGGAAACCCTTTTGGCTAGCCGACCCCTGTATGCTGAATAGACAACAAAGTCGCTAGACAGCACCGAGCATCGATGTCGCAAAGAGAGTCTCCGGGATCGTAGCTACATCCACACCGAAGGAAAAGAGACCACGAAACGAGCGGGCAGACTTCCTCCGATCACTCAAGCCCTTCAAAGTCAAACATACCAACTTGATAGCCATTTTCTAGCGCCTAAGCACATACTGGATGAAAATCTGGGCGGGACAAGACCCCCAACAGATTATCCTAGGCTATCAGAGCCTATGTCAGATGTAACCCGTCCATACTTGACAATTCCGCCGACGTCTGTAGGGTATGTTACCTTTAATGTCCTATACAAGGAGAAGTGGAATAAAACCGGGCCCTCCCAGAATAATTTTTTGACAATTTTCGATGTTCAGCAGACTCTACTTGAGCCATCATGAGCTCTGGAAAGGATTCTTTTGTGGCTCAACCAGCCGACGGAGTTTCTTATTAAAGTTATTAACACAGGAGCCTTTGAAAAGTTCCTGGAGTTTTCTGTCGACCGTGTCAACGGAGGTAAGTTTAAACAAAGGCCTTAAGAGGGGCCTCCTTTGTAGATGCCCCCCTCTCTGGAGAAGCCCTTCTTTTGGGTGGAAGGGTTGGGAGAGATATGCCTGATCCCAACGAGAAGAAGAGGGGCTCGTTGACTTACCAGTACTTGCTTCACGTCTGGCTGGCAAAGCAGGAGTGCATTGAGACTTGGCTTGATCCATATTATTGTCCTGTTTTTTTTTTTACTAAACACATTTTTTCATCTTAGTGGTCTTCTCCTTCTCATCTTCACCTCCACCTCCTTTTTAAAGAGGGGTATAGAGGTGGAGGCACTTCCTCCACATCAATAAACAAATTCAATTGTGGCAACTCGCACGACTCCCAATGTAGTTGTTGTTGCTGAGACTGTCCCCGTTCCTGTTGCTGGATCTGCTGTTTCCTGAGGCTGACCGCGTTCATGCTACTGGATCTGCTGCTGCTGCTGCTGCTGAGATTTGTCCATTTTCCTATTGTTGGATCTACTGCTGTTGGGACTGTCCCCTTTCCTGTTGCTGGATCTCCTGCTTCCTGAGGCTCACCGCGTTCATGCTACTGGATCTGCTGTTGCTGAGACTCTCCCCGTTCTTGTTGCTGGATCTGCTGCTGCTGAGAATGTCCCCGTTCCTGTTGCTTGATCTCTTGCTTTGGCAAATTGCTCACGTTTCTGTTGCTGGATCTGCTGTTTTCTGAGACTGTCCCCGTTGCTGTTACTGGATCTGCTGTTGCTGAGACTGTCTCCGTTCCTGTTGCAGGATCTGCTGCTGCCTGAGGCTGACCGGGTTCATGTTGTTGGATCTGCTGCTGAATTGTCCCCGTTCCTGTTTTTGAATCTGCTCATGGTTGAGACTGGCCCCGTTCAGTTGCTTGATCTGCCGCTTCCGAGACTGTCCCCTTTGCTGTTGCTGGATCTGCTACTGCTGAGACTGTGTCCCTTGCTGTTGCTGAAACTCCCCGTTCCTGTTGCTGGATCTGCTGCTTCCTGAGGCTGACTGCGTTCATGTTGCTGGATCTGCTGCTGCTGAGACTGTCTCTGTTCCTGGATCTGGTGTTGTAATTACTCTTCCTAGAGCTGTCGTTGTTGCTGTTCTCAATAGTTGTAGAATGGAAATATAACTCAGCGGCACTCCAGAGTTCTGATTTAGTTGCGACGTAAGGACATATTCTGTGAAGTGTAGGGCTATTCAAAATTATGAAAATTTAGTATGCTTGAATATAGAAGAGTTGACAATGAAACCGCCTTAATTTGGATCAGTCTAAGGCATTCGTTAGGGTTAACCATCATTTTCTTTAGAGATTTCTCGCCTAGGCTGGTTGTGGGTTGTGTTTCGCTCCTGAATTGGGATTTTGTATGCACCCCCTCCAAAGTGGTATGATGGAAGTGAATGGAGTAAGGCTGAAACCTTCTATTCAAGGCTGTCCATTTTCTTGAGTTGGAGCCTTTTCTTTAAAAGTTCATTTGCCACCACAAAATTTGTTCAACCACGGGTTTTTCACAGTTGAGATGTCTGGTGTAACCTCCAGACGTTGGTCAGGTACCAAAATTTGCACTGGATGAGCAATGCTAAGATCGTCTATATTAGCATTTTTCAGACAGAAAAATACTTGAATAAAAATGAGGAGGTGTACAGGCCTCAATCCATACAGGAGAATAAATATTTGGGTAAAATATCCTTTGGGGTATCGTATCACATCGTAGTAATTAACTGATTTTGCAATCATTGAATGGGGTTCACAATTGACTATATATACTTGACAAGACCTTGTCTTGTTCTATTTTCTCCTTATTTTTCTGCTGATACAACACGATTTAAATCTCTAGTGAAGATTTACGTTTTCCCCGGGGGGGGGGGCATGTGTTTCCTTCAGGAAACATGCATGAACATTACACACACACACGTACGTACGAACATTCATATTCACATTCTTTGACCACAAACTTTTTACATTCATTCATACACACTAATTATTGCCTTTGTCAATTATAACCCTTATTGTATGTCAATACACATATATCTGTTTATATATATATATATATATATATATATATATATATATATATATATATATATATATATATATATATTACATTTCTGTTGGTGGGCTCATACTCTAGGAGAGTCTGCCATATTTGTAATGGGCCCCATTTCAGGAGTGTTTGTCTCACAATGCGTACAAATGGCCCGCTACAGATTGGTGACCCCGACGTGATATGAACACACAATTTTACAAATATGCGAATGTTGTAATTTGTTTTTCTGTGGTGATGGAGATTTGGTCATTTTGAGAGTGTTGCTAGCCAACTATAAAAACAATATAGTTTTCATATTTTGCAAATCAGACAAGATAATTTAAAAGACTAGAAACAAAGTTTTCTAAATAAAAAAAGAAGACATTACTAGAAACAAAATAGTAATCATCTTTATTGCTTGTGTTCAAGCAAAGAATCAGAAATTACTACAAATGAAATTAAATCAGTTATAATGCAATAATTAATTTATCTTTGTATCTTTATACATTTTGTTTCAAAGACAAATTTGTAAAACTTTATAAATTCTTTTGTGTATATTGAAATCCAAAAATAATCAAAAACATTCTTTACACTGTGGAAAATGTATATTTTTTATTTCTAATTTATAAAATTGTGTTAAAATTGTTTATATTTATTTTAGTTGTGGTCTTAACTTAAATGAGCAGATATAAGATCCTCATAAATTGAACAAATTTTCAATTGATAAAGAACAAATGTTGATTTTCTCATCGGGGGGCAGGGGGAAGGAGTGGGAGAACAATAATAAAGATGGACCAGATCTTTTGCCGTTCATTTCTTTCTTCCTTCCTTCTCTCTATCATTAATTCACAAGAATTTTGTACCATTAAAAAACACAGGTGATGACCTTAAACAAAGTGATAAAGAAAATTTTAAATTGGCACATGAAATAAACTCATTATGAGGCCACTTAGATAAAACACAAATGGATAAAAATAACAAAAACTTTTTAAGGTCATCAAAAATAGATGACTGGATTGATATGGTTTATTTTGTTTTATGGCATATCAACCTCAATAGGTTATTTAATGCCAACAAGATTTTTAGGATAGATTCGTATGAATAGAATATGTATTCTTTAGTTTAGATTAGTTTGATTTATTTTGTTTTATGGCATATCTACCTCAATGGCTTATTTAATGCCAACAAGATTTTTAGGATAGATTTGTATGAATAGAATATGTATTCTTTAGTTTAGATTAGTTTGGTTTATTTTGTTTTACAGCATATCAATCTCAATGGGTCAAAAATCTGTTTCTGGCAATATTTTTCCTTCAAAATTGTATAGCTGGTAATAATTTTTTCAAAAAACTATTCCTGGTAATATTTAACTATTTGCCCATAGCTGGGACCCTAACAGGTGCTACCACCCCGGGTCAGTGTGGACCTGGGAACACCAGCAATTAAGAAGTGGTTCCACGCTCCTCAAAACCTCCTGATCAGAGGCCTTACTGCTGGACATAGTTTATCGTCTTACCCAGGATGCGGATGTAGCTTAATGTCTTAAACAGGATGAAAAAATAGATGAAAATAACAAAAACAAAAATCACAAATGTATGAAAATAGCAAAGAAGAAAAAAATCCCAAATGAGTGAAAGTAATAGAAAAAAAAGAGAAACACAAATATTTGAAAATATCGAAAAGAAAAAATGTAAATGGATGTAAATAACAGAAAAATATCACAAATGTATGAAAGTAACAAAACAAAAGCACAATTGGTTGAAAATAAAAAAAAACAACCCTCAAATAGATGAAAATAACAAAAAAATCACAAAAGGATGTCAATTAAAAAAAAAAAAAAATTCACAACCGCATGAAAATAAGAAAAATGAAAACAAATTCAAAATGGATGGAAGTAACAAAACAAAAACACAAATATATGAAAATAACACTAACAAAACATACAAATTGATGAACTTAACAATAAGAAAACAGAAAAAAAATCACAAATATATGAAAATAACAAAATCAAAAACATAAATTGATGAAAATTATGGTGTGAAGATGAAAATAAAATCCAAGCATCAAATGACAAAAAAATAAATCTCACATATCTCTGAATAAATTCAAGGAACTTAAAAAATTCTCCTTCTGCTTGCATAGTACAGGTTGGAATAATTTTAAGCATCAAGCTTCCAAAATTAATAAATGATGTTTTGATCTACCTGTATGCAAAATGGAAAATGAGTCAGTCAAAAAACAAGACAAGCATGACTCATTATCTAATAGGTGTTGTCCAATTTGATTGCAACACACGAGAATGATCACAAGAATATAATCTAATATACTTAGGAACGTGTTGGTTTATTCTCGACTCTAACCTGAGACTCGTCCATCCTATGTATTCAGCCTCGCACTGACATTTGAATTTATAAATAAGCAAACTTTTATTGTGATAGGCTAGACGGTCTTTAGAAAAGGAAGGTAGAATCGAGCGAGTGTCAAAAATAACACATAGTTTGGCTAAAAAAAATGTGGCAGAGACAATAGTAGATACTCTGTCATCTAAAAGTTTGCATTTTCTGCCAAGCGAAGGTAATTTAAGATAAAAAGGACACAGACCAGGACCCAATTTAGGGGCCATATTAAAGTTGTCCATTTTTTGTTCAATTGTGCAGTCCACAATACGAGTTGGAAAACCATTATTGACAAGAATACAACGGATCTTATTTAATTCCTGCTGGAGTTTACATGACGAACAAATTAATAGGGCTCGATGTACTAAAGTTTTAATCAAATTTATCTTTCTATGCCAAGGGACAAAAGAATTCCAACTGGTGTAAAGACCTGAAAAGATGTCTTTACGAAAAACACTGGTAATAAAAATACCATTCTTCCTCTTCACAAGAACATCCAGAAAAAAAACAGAGCTGTTCACTTCTTCATCTGCTGGGAAAACCAAAGATGGATGTAAACCATTTAAGGATTCACAAAAAAGAGTTGCCTCCTCTATGTTATTAAACATAGAAAAAGTATCGTCAACGTCAAAAGGCTCTCACGATAACCCACAACAATGTTAACTAAAAAAGGACCCAAGGGACTACCCATAGAAACCCCATCTACTTGAGCGTACATAATATTTTCAAAACTAAATTCTATTCCTTTAGTGTATGGAAGAGAATATGTTAAAAATAAGTCTTTGTTATATAAAATAAATATTTGTCCTCATAAGGCTGTAAACTTTTTGATTTACATATAAGTGTCTATAGAGGCAGAAAGTGATAACTTATCATGCCTCTTTCAACTTCTGAATTTTTAATGAAAATTGAAAAAATTGCAGCAGTGCGAATGACTTTCATATATTTTAAGTTGGTGCAAAAATAATTGCAGTTTTTAGCCATGAAATTTTGAAGCAGTAGATTTCATCTTGAATAAAATTGAAATAAGAAAACTTATAATCTATGCATTACTGCTAAGAATAAACATGTTTTGTTTTTTTATTTTTTTATTCTAGTAGCAAAGAATTCTGGAGTTTTTGAACTGAAGAATTGTTTGAATGTTTTTTGAGTTGCTGCTTCATTGATGAAAACCACTATGGTGATGCTTAAGAAAATGGCAGTTGGTTGAAGATAGATCTGGTGAGTAAACTGGGTGAAGTAGAGTTTTATAGACCAGTTCATTCAATTTCTGTAATCATTGACAAAGCGTATGTTCAGGCATTGTCATGTAGAAGAATTGTGGTGGAAGATAAATAAATTTTTAAAGTAAACAAACTGACTTTCTTTGGATATAAAATCAATGAATTGGACCTTCACCAAAGAAAATCACCACAATACATAATTCAGGCAAGTATATCGATTTATTGGCTTTTTATAGACTAGTTCACTCAATGTCTATAATCATTGACAAAGCGTGTGTTCAGGCATTGTCACGTAGAAAAATTGTGATGATAGAGGGATAAATTTTGAAAGTCAAAAGACTTTCCTCGGATATGCAATTGATGAATTGAACATATCTCCTTCACCAAAGAAAATCAACCACAACATAATTCAGGC